CAATTAGTTATATATTAATTATGTATATACAAAATATATATTTATAATATGTGTGTGAATGTATTAGTGGATATAGATACGTAGAGAGTGAAAGGCGCCATTTTTGTAACGCTCTGCGCACCGATGAGGGACGTTCTATCGAAAAAAAATTATAATTATAATATAAAGAACTTTGGTTAAATCACACGCATAACTAATAACCGTTTTATTATTACATTTGATTGATAAATCGCATGCGCCGCGTCGCGATGTAAAGGTGCCATTACATGGCAGCGTTAAGCGTCGAGCGTCTGCGTAGAAAATTGCGCAGAATCTAATTTCAGCCTAGAATCTATCTCTTTTAAATTCTGCGCATCTTTCTGCGCAGACGCTCGACGCTTAATGCTGCCATGTAAAGGTGCCTTAAAGTATTATCGTCGCCAAAGTTATTTATTCAAAAATGCTCGACGCGCGCGATCGATAGTATCGACGTGAGGCCATAAAGTACGTTAAAAAATTTGAAATGTGTAGAGAATGATCAATCGTTATTTTTCCTTTGAAATAACAAGTACATTATGTGAAATTAAATTAGAAAGAGATTTGAATTTACGATATATTTTTACGAATTTGCAGATGCGAATGATGGATTCACCGATGGATTAATGCGGACAACGGATCCATCGATGGATTAATGCGGACGACGGATCCATCGATGGATTAATGCAGATAATGGATCTACCAATCAACAATGAAGGAGGACGGACGATTTAGAGTTTCAACGAATTGGATATGGGGTAAGTAATAATCGTATAAATTGATGCACAATATCAAAAAAATAAGTATCATTTTTAAGGCGAACTATAATAGAATACAATATAATATATTTGTTTGTTGATTTTTCATATAAATGATTTTTGCAATGATTTTATTTGCAAAATATGATTTGCAAACGAAATTTTGTCTAAGGAAAAGATGCTTATTTTTTGAAAAAGAATATATATGTTAGTAATACCAGTCTGTAACTTATAGGACATCCTGTATAATAAAAAAAGAGTGCATATAAAAGAATGAGAGACAAAATGAAGCATACTATATTTAATGCTTTTTTTAAATTAAAATATTTGTAATATATATACACTCAGTACATACACTTTAGAACGCAGATAATAAAACAATCTTAAATCTGAACACGTTTCGTGCAAGAGTTTGTCGATACGCGCGTACAAAATTATACAAAAAAGATTTAACAATTCGAAAAATAATCAAACTTTACACTACTACTGTACCAATATACAATAAGTAATTATTAATAACTGGCCGTCCCTCAAAGCTTTTTTTCTCACGTTACGAAATTGAAGGAAAGAGATTAAACGAAACAGTTTGCGCTTTGCTGACAATTTTCAGAATTTCGTAATTATCTATCATAATATCGGTACACATCGACACTTTAATGTCGTGTGGATTAAGCGTCTCATATATAAAATATGTATAAAAAATTATCCTAAAATACTGACCTACACAGTATTATATATGTTTAATAACGCCGGAAGAGCCGTAACGCGAATATTGTACGAATTTAAATAAATCAATATCGACGCTATATTTTCTCTCGAAATGGATATTCAATATCTATATTCTTTCTCCTTTGCGCTTTCGCGCAACTATTCTTAATCGAATTTGTTAATGACTGGCCGCTATAATAAATGATGAGTATCGAAATTTTTCTGTTGCGCGACCAGTAATGCGAAAGATATTTTATCTTCTTAGTATCTAGGAACAGATACTTGAAATATATCCGATTAAAGCCGATTAGCTTGCTTTTACCTTCGTACAATTTTGATGACATTGATATCGTTAAGTACGAAATTAATTTGAAATGCGAACACAAGTATTTCAAAAAATGTACCTCGAATATATTCAGAAATAATTCATCTGGCTAGAAATACATAGGTATTTTGCCGCGGAAAAAATGCAGGCACAGGTATACCGAAACAGTATACCTAGCTGCAAAAAGAAGGTACATTTCTTGCAATCTCAATACATCACTAGTCTCTTTACATCATTAGTCTCGTCTCTAAAAAATTCGACGCGTTATATGTACGATACGAGGTTGCTTTAATTCCTCGCGATCTTTGTCGATTCCTTGTTACTGGTGACGTGCTCAAGGTCGACTCCATCGTACTCTACACCGCCCGTATTGTCGTAATACGCGTAATCGTAATCGTTCTTCTTGCCCGATTTCGGCCGCGCTGTCGTACTACTGCTAGGTAATCTGGTCGTCGACGTAAATGGTCTCGCGGATCCGCTGACGTAGGTGATGCCACGCTGTGTCGTCGTTGGCTGGTTGGCTCTCTGAGCGCTGGAGCTAAAGCTGTTCGGATTGTAAGTGGTAGCGCTGGAAGGCCGCCTGTAATAACAGAAAAAAAACATTGCAATCGATTTCTTTCTATGTCAAAAGCAGTCCTCTAAAGAACAAAAAATTTCGATCGATGAAATATCGTGACAAGGAATAAATTTTCTGTAGGCTTTCGAAAATCTGCTCACAGAGTACTCCTTGCATTTTTAATACATCATCTAATATTTCAATTCTTACAAATTTTTTTGCGCGGGGTAATACATTCTAAGCCAAATTTATACAATATCACACCCCACTCTTGTAAGCGAATCGAAAGTTTACCTTGGTACCGGTGTGGTAGTTCTCGGCGATTCGGCGAGATGGTTGATACTCGCGGGACTGAAACCGATCCCGACAGAGGATCTCGCGAGATCGAAGCTACCCGTGCTGCTCTCAACGTAATATGACTTGCCACCGCTCACTCCGTCGTAATTATTATACTGAGTAGCCTTCTTCGGCGTCTTCGTGCTGTCGTAATACTGCGTGGAAGGCCTTATCGCCTGATTGGTAGTTTTGTCGTAGTATTGGCTGTTATCATTATTCCGCAAGGCGGTCGTCTGCGCAGCCGTGTTATCCCCATTCACGTACTTCTTCGTCGCCGGGCTGTAAGTGGTGGGCGCGTAACTATTGCTCGCGAAATTATTGGCAAAGTATTTCGCGGTGGTCTGAGGAATGTCCTGTCTAGTAGACGTAACTGATCTATACTGGCCGTTGTTGTTATAATGATTATCGTAGACGGTAGACGCGGATGTAGTGGACGACGGGTACGCAATGTTGGTACTTCGTTGGATATTGTTGTAGCTTCTCTGCTGATAATTATTGAAATCGTTAGTCTGTTGGTAGTTGGTGCTCGGCTGGACGGTGGTGGTAGACTGCGAGAATTGATAGTTGGTTTGATAATTGGTTTTCGGACTGTAAGTGCTCGGTCTCAGGGTTGTGTCTTGAAAGGAACCGCTGACGGCGTTCTGTTGGTTGTAACTAGGATTGTAGACATTCGTGTTGAAGATGCTATGCGGCGGCGTCGTTCTGGTAGTCGTACTGGGTGATGACTGATGATTACTATACGAATCTTGATACGTCGTGCTAGGTCGATATGTCGTGGACGATGGTACGTTGTATCTCTGGATGTTCTGATTTCGGTTGTAGTTTTCCTGTAACGGTCGGACGGTCGTCGACGAGGCAACGTACGTCGTGGATCGTTGATTGTACGCGTTTCCGTTGTAATAATTGTTGTTGTAGCTTTGCTGACTTGGAGCGGCTGGTGCCAACGTGGTGGTCGTCGACGAATAGCCGTTACCATTGTACGGCTGCTTCCTGCT